TAGCAACTTCAGGCCTCCCTATATCCAGAAAGCATTCAATTCTTCTTTGTGTGTGTGTGTGTGTGTGTGTGTGTGTGTGTTTGTGTGTGTGTGTGTGTGTGCGCTTGTTGATTTATACCTGTGAAAATCAAACACTGAACCTCAGCTAAGGACTACAGAAGGGAACAACAATGAGCCAAGTCACTTATTGGGATTCTGTTTATGTTTCCTTTTAGCTCTAATTACTTGTTTCTTTGAACTAAACAAATAGCTTTCATTAGAATCATTAGTCCCTGCTTTTAAAATTGAATTTCACTTTCTGCAGCAATGACCAGTGGCACTGGTGTTGCAATAACAAATGAGTACAGGGGAATTAGACACAACTCCATTAATATGCTAATTAACTGTCCTTCAAAGGACTATTAACTCCAATCACATTTGCACCAATTAGCCCTGTGTTGGAAAAATTCTAGATCTGGGGTTTGCTTCTTAAACTGGCAGTAGCTCCCTCCTGTTTGACAACATCAACCGCATCCCCCAGCCCTGGACATTTGTCTTGCAAATGTGTGGAGCCAAGTAATGCCTTTCTCAATACTAGAAATACAGCTCAAAACTCCAGTTGTGATGGTGGCATATCAGAAAGCAGCAAAAGGCAGCATTTATTCAGCCAATAGTCCACATTCAGCAAGCATTTATTGATCGATTATTACAGACCAGGTACTTTGCTAGGTGTTGGGAGTGCCAAGATAATTATGAGTCTCTCTGAAATCTGGGCAATCAAGCATTACAGGTGCTATGAAAAGTGCAGTGGAGACACTGACTAGGAAAAAGTTGGTTCTATGTGGGGAGGGTGGTGATGATGAAGGTGAACTTTGAAAGGTCAGGCTGTGTTTGTCAGGTGAGCAAGGTAGGAAGGACATTCATTCTGTTACATGTACATATGTGTAAATAAATATACACACATGTGAGGTGTGACTACAAACTAGTGTAACTGATTCCACAGATCATTCATGAAAAATGAATTTCATTGTTTTTTAGATGAATATGTAAATACATCACAAAAACCAACTCAGTCTTAAACTAGCATATTGATTGGATTGAGTCTCGCTTATAGTTCCCTAGTGGAAGCCATTCATTTTTCAGCTTGCTGAGAACTGTCCTTCTATAAAAAAATAAATATTAAGAGTCTTTATACATTCTATAATAATCCATACTGGTCAAATCCACATCCATGTGTGGAAATCAAGCAGGATGAGGTAATTACTAGAATAAATTAAAGAGAGCTCAGTTTATACCAAGAATGACTACACTATATTGACAGAAGCCATCACATGACCCTAGTGAGTGATTTGCTAGTAGTGATGAACTATTTGTCTTTTATTAGCCCCCAGACTTCTGTGATTTAGGACAAGCCTAATGTAAAGGCAGAATGGGCAATCCCCTACCTGACATGATATGATGAGGGTTGACTTGATTATTTAATCATTTCCAGTACCAGGCCCCTCTTGCTTATCTTCCTGACTCCATTTACTGTAATTAAGCATTACAGAAAATGTGGTCAAAGACATGAGTTTAGGTGAGCCAACTTCAGGCTGTATCCCTGTGTGCCTGGTCTGACTTGTAGTAGAACTGAGTCCACAGTGCGCAAGTTGTTGTGGAGTAGGATTTACTAAACATGTTCCAACTTACACCTACCTCAGCTCCAAAGTCCAGTACTGGGTGTCAAACCCAGTATGATTCTTTAGAGAGGGGTTGGTATGGTAGGCCCTCTTGCCAGAGCAGCACCGGGTACTGCAAGCCTTTTGTAGCCTTTCTGTCTGGGTCCCCTAGGAGCCAGCACAGAACCATGCTAAGCACCTTCAGCCGACTCAGTCCAGGCCTTCAATTCAGTACTTTTTGAACTGAAAAGCCAAGGCACAGTAGTCTCTCCCTGGAAATGTTCTTGTGAGGATAAGTCTGAGGTGATCTATGCCCTATTCTTCTTTTGTAGTCTTCTTGGGACACTTGGTATGAGTCATACAGTGATTTCACCTAGGGCATAGGCCCCTTTAGCTCAGGCTCCCACAAACTGAGTGACCCAGCACTCCACATATACTTGCTTTTACTTACAGAGAGGAGATGAAAATGACATCCGATCCATCAATTACTACCCAGAGTCGGCTTCTTTTGACCTCCGCTACTACCCTTACTACGGCAAACTGACTCACGTAAGCCTATATTCCCTTCAGTCTTTGCTGTCAGAAAGGGCTCAGAGGCAAAGGAAGGAGTAGCTTGGTTCTATGTGAATTATGGAGCAGTAGGTAGTAACAGAGGGGTGAATAGCTGCTGGCCAAGACCAGGAAGGAGCCTACTCTACTAATTCCTATCACAGCCACTCCTTTCCATATCCGAAGGAATCTCAGATACAGTCTGGTCCAACTCCTTCAGTTTACGGATGGAGAAATTAGGTTTCATATAGTAGAAGTGATCTGCCCGTTGCCACATAGCTAATTGGCATCAGAGCCATGAGCAGACAAAACACTGCCATTTTACTCGATTATGCCCAAATAACCCCACTTTCCTGTTTCTCCCATTCGAAGCCTTGGGGCAGTAAAGGCTTCATCTCTAGCATAGAGACTTGACAGATACTAGTTCTGGTTTGATTCATGGTCTGATATCCAGAAAATCATGAATTAGAATTGGTTTTCCCCAGAGGACAGATATCTGACAGTGACTTATGAGAGAAATATATCATTTCCCCCACTGTTCCAGGGCAGAAAGAGCATGTCATTTGCTTTCACCATTTGTGACTTGGCATCATGGGATTTACTCAGTTGCCTTTTAGAGCTTACCTCATCCTGCACTGAATATCTGATCACTTCCATTCTATTACCCTTCCACAGAGCTGCCCCTCTTCACACTTAGAATTCATTGTTCTTCCACCTACAGGTTAACTACACCTCCCCGCTGGTGGCAATGCACTTTACAGACGTGGTGAAGAACCAAGCCGTGCCTGTGCAGTGCCAACTGAAGGGCAAAGGCATCATAAATGATGTCATCAATGATCGTTTTATGGGTAGAGTAATCTTTACTCTGAACATAGAAACCTAAGAACTTCAGGGGGCCATTAATGTTTCTGTTTTATTTCATGTTACAACTGGTAGCACCTGAATTCTTTTTCTTTATCTGAATTCAGCCAGATAGACACCTAAGAGCAGATCATCTTTCCTTGCCTTTGACATATGTATAAATGACATTGTGGGAGCTTTTTGATTTTTTAAAGGTGGTCTCTCCTGAAGACAAATAGATTATATTAATTTCCTTTCTCCCCACTTAAATCTAAAACCCATTCTTGCTGCTAGATGTCTCACTGTAGTGTAAATATAGTATCTGATAAAATTCACAATAGCCATGAAGGAGAATTTCTATGATGATTATAAATTCATTGTGTTTTCTAAATTTTTGTTGTTTTTAGAGGTGAGATTCCTTCCAACCAGGCTGATAACTAACCCCTTTTTCCCCCACCTGCTTGGCAAGGTCCTTCCATGGTAATCACCAATCTAACCCAGAATACACCTAGAGCCACCATACCTAGGGAACTCTATATCCAGGGATGCTTGAAAAACTGGCTGCCTCACATGGGCAACTAAATACTGATTAAAAGACTAGGTTATCTTCAACTGGGCCAGAAAGCAGTGCTAACTAGATATTGCTCTGGATAGAGATGAAAACTTTCTCTATGACTTTTTTGAGGAGGTGGGGGAGAATACCTACCATGTGAATGTGATTGGTATTTGATTCCTTGCTCTATGGTGTAATCATCCAAAGGCAGACATTCCTGCAAACAAAGTTGTCTCGGCTTCAGACAGAAGAGAGAACAAGAAAGAAGATCTCTACCAGCTATTTCTTCTTGGGCTATTTGTTTGACAGTAGTGTGATATTCTTTGAGACCATGACGGGTGGGTGTGTTGACCCTCAGCTACAGCTCTACGCATTGAAATCGGGGTCTGCCATATGGTAAGACAGAAAGCTCCTGCCAAGCCACCCTAAATCCAAGGCCCATTTAGCCAGCTTTTCGTTTACTTAAAAAACAATATGAAGTAGATGTTTATCCTGCTTTGTCTTATCATTGGCCATGTGACCATTCCACTGCTTAACACTTCCACCAAGGAGAGGGCTAGGACAAGGGGGAAAAGGTGAGCATTAGAGAACAGCATAGTGTATCAGGGTCCAAAGTGAGCATAAATGCCACCTAGAAGCAAACAGAGTCTGAGTCTCCTCTATAATGTTTACCTTTTCCCCAAACAGAGAACTGGCAGTCTGGCAGTTTAGATAAACAAGTGAAGAGGTAACTACAATATAGTGTGGCAAGAGTTATAAAACTAACATGAGGAAAAGTAACTCAAGCTGTCACAGTAGCAGAGGAAATTTCATACGCAAAGTCACAATCACAAAAGACCGTGGTGTGTTTGGTTAACTGTGAGCAGTTGATGTCATTGGAGTGTAAAGGGCTCAGAGAATGGCAGGGAATGGCAGGGGATTGGGTTAGAGAGATTTGCAGGTACCAAAAGAGGACTTTGAGTTTTATCCAGTAGGTTAAAAGGAGTCATCAAAGCATTCTAAGCAGGGAAACTCTGTGAACATATTTGCATTTTAGAAAGAGCACTTTGGTAGCCACAATATGAAGAGTGGATTGGGAAGAGGCAAAACAGGGGAATGGGCAATGATGGAAAAGTTGTTGAGAATGACTCCAAGGTTTTGAGCTTGGCTAGAGCCAGTGGGGTGGTGATATTGTTGATCAAGACTGGGAATATAAGAGAGAAGCAGGATTGGGGAGGAAGATGTTAAGATCAGTTTTGGACATTTTAGGCGTGTAATTTCTGTTGGTCAGACATTGATGTGGAGATGTAAACACTAATGGGGCTGGGGAGAAGGAAATCTGACAACAAAAGTAACATTTGTTTGCATGAACTCTCAAGAAATTCTAAGCTATTTAATCTTAGGAATTTGAACCAGTTTTGTAAACACACTACAGCAATGTAGTCTCTCAGGTAATGTTATTCTCTTGGCTTTGTGGCAGAAAGAACTACTGCTGCTCTTTGAATTCTTCCTAGACATCTTCCAACTCCTTCCAACTCTTATCAACAGAATAGAGGGGGGCTGACCACTATTAACAAGTAATAGAAGATATATGACAGCAGATCTACAGAAAAAAATGAAACTGTCTCCTCCCAACCCCTTTCCTTACCAAATTCTATTTTTAAAATTAAACTTTAAAAAGAAATAACCAAGATGCTTGAAGACAACAACTTTGTAAACATTTTTAAATGATCTCAAACTCTCAAAAATCAGTAGTAAAAGATAATAACATTAAATCTGGAAAGGATATTAGAGAGCATTTAGCAAAAACAACCTGCATCGCATCTGACTCCAGGTCCAGTGCTCTTTCTACTCTGAGCTGCTGCTTACCAGGAAGTACCATCTTTTTAAAATTCAATGAATGATATCCCAAATATTTTGAAACATATGTCAAATCTGAGTTAAAATAGCTAACATTTCACAGTATTTCAACTACTGGTGCTATATTTTATACATAATACATTATCCTGTTAAATATATTAACTATTAAACAGACAGGGAATTATGAATCTTTTGTCATACAGTATTTCTCATTCAATGGAATCCATCATTTCCACAGTTTCAAAGGAATATTGAGTAGTACTAGGATAGTTTGGGTTGTTAGCTGGGACGGTAAAAATAACTATTATACACAACTGGATATTATAATATATTCACTAAAATTGAATTCTAACAGTTCAATAATCTTCAAGTGAATAAATTTAAATACTTTCCCATACTGTGCTGTAGCAGTATTTGATTTGTATAACATTTGTTGCAATGCACTTGGTTTTACTTGTCAATGAGAAATACTACTTTAAAATGCCTTCATGGTTTTGTCCATGCTAGATTTATTATTTTCCACCCCTCACCTCTTTGAAATCATTATCCTAAAGTAGCCTTTCTTAGGCATCTATTTGCTACATGTAGAGAACATTAATATTGTCTTAAGGACTTGTTGACAACAATAAATTGATATAAAAGAGAAGTGTACGATTTCTTTCTAGACTGTACCATTGATTTTCCCACAGGAATATTGGGCAGCTATGTGTGTAGAAAACTCGACAATTGACAATTTATTGGTTTAAGGCTTTCCCCACTACCACCTTTTTTGACTCTTGGGGTTTAGCCACTATAAAACTAAAAGTTGTTTCACTTTTTAAATTTAGTTTCAAGTATTCAGTACATTGGTTAGACATCTATATAGTTCAGAAAACGATACCCCCAATTGCACCATCCCTCGACCCTCCACCTTGCCAACGTATTAATGCTAACTGCATTCCCTATGCCACACTACCACCTTTTGACTCTTGGGGTTTAGCCACTATAAAACTAAAAGTTGTTTCACTTTTTAAATTTAGTTTCAAGTATTCAGTACATTGGTTAGACATCTATATAGTTCAGAAAACGATACCCCCAATTGCACCATCCCCCGACCCTCCACCTTGCCAACGTATTAATGCTAACTGCATTCCCTATGCCATGCTCCCCATCTCCGTGACCATCCATCAACTACTAATTGGTACTTCTTTAACCCTTCATCCCATTCCTCCAGCCTCCCAAATCCCCCTCTCCTCTGTCCATCATCAAATTGTCCACTATATTTGTGAGTCTGTTTTTAATTAGTTTGTTCTTTTTATTCCTTAGATTACGCACATAAGTGAAATCATATAGTGTTTATCTTTCTCTGTCTGACTTAAATACCTTCTAGGTCCATCAAAGCAATATCTTTTTCCATTCCCTTCCATTTAGTTTGTG